GCTCGGGAGCACGCGCCGGCCGTGCGCCCTATTCACCGCAGGCGGGTCGGCGCGCTCGCCGGCTTCGGGGAACCGGAAAGCGAGCGTCTTTCCCGAGCTGTGCGCCCCGGCCACCCCCGCAGCTGCCCGTCAGCCCTGGGGAGTGGGCGCTGAGTTTGTCTTACTGACCCCCGCCCGGGAGTTCGGACAGTGTTTTTGCCCCCTGAAATGTTACAGGGGACTTCTGCGCGAAGAGAGGGTCCACTCGTCTCAGTTCGAACATCAGAGATCAAGATGAAACAGACACTAGACAAACAGCTTGATACTCAGGAAGGCGCAAGACAGATGGGAGAGGGGAGCGAGCTGGCGGGTTCAGGACGCTCAGGGACAGACATGATCAGGGACACCTGGGCGGACTGGGCGGGAGGGGCCAGACAGACCCACGAGTCTGTCTCCTCAGGAAGGTCTGAACTCCACGCCCCGCGCGGCGGGAGAGACCCCTCTGAAGCGGGTTCCAGGGAGGCGCCTGGAGTCGGGCTGCCCGGGCCATGGGAGCCAGCAGCCGCCGGCGGGCTCGGAGCCTGGCCTGTGTGAGGACATGGGGCCAGGCTGGACGACGCCAAACGTCAGCTCCCAACGCCCGCCGCGGAGGCCAGCGATCGGCCGCCTCCCCTCTGCAGAGTGGGCGCGGGACCCCGGCAACGCCTGCGCCTGGAGCCTCGCGGTGGCCTGAACGCCCGCGAGACTCCTTCCAGTCGCAGTGGCCCGGACGGCAGGGCACGAAGATAACCCCGGGAGGAGACGCCCGAGAGGAAGTCGGAGTCCCGGAGCCCTGAGCCTGGGTGGGAGGAGGAAGGCTCTGGAGCGGGCGACTGGACGAGGGAAAGTTCCCTGGGAGCTGCTCTGTCCCAGCGCTGACCCCGGTGGAAGCCAGCTGTGGCCGGAACGCGGTTAAAAACGCAGGAAACTGGCTAGGAATCGCTTGAGCCTGACCCCACTGATGGCTGGGAAGAAGAGATTCCGGCTGGAATCTTTCCGCTCAACGAAGGCGGGCGCCAGGCGTGAAAGGGAAAGCCCGGGTTCGTGGACGCAGGTGCCACGGTCCCGGAAGCGGCTCGGCACCGATCGGGCTGGGCGCGGTGGGGGCCGCCCCGGGTCCGGGCGTGCTTGGCGCGCTTTGGAGAGGGTCGGGTTCAGCACCGCGAACAGCGGCCGCC